AGCTTCATGACAGCTTCATGACAGCTTCATGGCAGCTTCATGACAGCATCATGACAGCTTCATGACAGCTTCATGGCAGCTTCATGACAGCTTCATGTCAGTATCATGACAGCTTCATGGCAGCTTCATGGCAGCTTCATGACAGCTTCATGTCAGTATCATGACAGCTTCATGGCAGCTTCATGGGTCCACAGTAGAGATGGGGCAGATCAAACGGTTTACCACGTCCAATAATCCACACTGTCCAAAGTTACTGACACACATTTGTAATTAATCTCAACACTTGTGATGACATTATAATTCCATTCATCTTAATCTTGAGTGCATAAAACATCTGACATGTCTTATCAATCCATCAGAATTAAAACAAGTAGAACTTAATATTATAGCACATTTTATTTACATTGTAAAGTGCATTTCAAACATTTTAGTGAAGTATTTCATTTCCTTTGTCTTTTACACGACATGGTCGTGTTTGGGCTTTTAAATGTTGAGAGCTGGGATCGTTGCTTTGTGTTTGAGCTGCCACAGGACAGTAAATACTGAATTCATACTGTAAGCATGACTGATTTGAACGGTTACTGTGTTTCCTTTAGCGCACAGCTGCAAACCAGCATGAGAGTTTTATTTTTAGAGCAACGTTTGTGCTCGAGGTTCTACTGTGTTCTACTGTGTTCTACTGTGTTCTACTGTGTTCTACTGTGTTCAGGGATGAATTTACAACTCAGAAAGATGCTGTGACTTTCCATATTTCCCCTCATTTATGAAAAACACGAACAAACAAGAAAGCAGAGATAACCTTTAAGTTCATCATATCTCACGTCACTAGTCCATCGTACGTAAACAATACAAGTGGTTCTGCTCACCCAGTAACCAAGGAAGCCCGTGCGAGTGTACGTCGCCTGGACGTCTCTGATGAAGGGGATGTGCTCCAGCTTGGAGAAGAAGAGCAGCAACAGACCCTGCATTCTAATGGATGACACCTGCAACACAAAGTACACAACACGCAAACATAAACGTACAAAAACACGTCGCACCTGTCCTGGTTTACCGTCCGAATGGTAAACGTTACAGCTGTGTGTATTAATACCTTCACATAATTCAGCGGTGCTAAAGTGGACATGAACTTTTGACTCCATGGATCATGGAACACCATGTCTGATATAAACCTTACAGGTCCTGAGTAGACCTCCTGCAGACTGGACACACACAGTTTGATGGTCATTTTGCTCCATGGTCAGAAATATGAGCGAATCACTGATGACGAAACAAACATGACCCACCCAATGATGAAGACGTCTGCACTTGTTGCTGAGTCTAGATGGAGAAGAGAAGTCACGTCCTCTGGAGGCTCAGCCGTGGCCACATTCCACGTCACGATGTGAAGTCTGAGAAACAAAAGTCAAACTGGATTAGCACCGAGTTGCAACAATCATCATTCCTGGTGTTTTCAAAAGCAGAATGGGAGGAAGATCTCCCAGTTCTCAGGCTCCTCTCTTGTGGAACCAACTCCCAGTTTGTGTCCATGAGGCTGACACATGGTCCAGTTTGAAGACTGGGATTAAGACTTTCCTTGTTGATAAATCCTATAGTTAGGGTTGGCTTTATGCCTTGGACTGCTGAAGGACAAACTGACCACATGTCCTCTCTGTGTTTACTTGCTCGACTCTGCCTGGCTGTATTTGTAATTATTTATATCTTAACGTTTCTGTATTTCCTCCTATGGACAGTTCACCTGCACCTGTCATCCTGTCTGTCTCTCCTTCCTGTCCTCTCAAACCCAGCCGGCTGAAGCAGGTGACCACTCGTCCTGAGTCTGGTTCTGCTGGAGGTTTCTTCCTGTTCAAAGGGAGTTTTTCTTTCCACTGTCTCCTTTGTGCTCGCTCAGGATGAGACTGTGATGAAGAGAAGAGTCAACAACCTGCTGCTTCCTCAGACAGAGAACTTTACTGATTGTATTACGTGAATGTTTCTGTTCAGTGGCCTGACACAACTTCTGTTGTGACTTGGAGATACAGAAATAAACTGAATTGAATCTTCCACCTTCTTCCTGGTGGCTCTACTGTATTCAGTAACAGTAGTCCCTCGCTACCTCACGGTTTGTTTTTCATGGATTTTATATGCGCGGTTTTTCAAAACAAGATTGGACATGACACAATTGGCTGATTGATGGATGAGCCATGGATTGTTTATTTAAAATAAATTATTTTACATGATTTTGCACCATGTGTGCAGCCCACAAGTGCAGGGGGAAGTTCCCTCCTGCAGCTGATCAGCTGATCTCCTTCTCTGCCATGCACGTTTCTCCTGCTGCAGCTTCCTTTGATGTCCAGATGAACCGATTGACTTTTGTCTTACAACTTAAAATTCAAAGTATGTCACATCATAAAATCATCATAATCACAAAATATAAGTGTTAAAAAGTTATTTTGAATTATTTTAAAACTTCTATGTTCAGCTGTTACAGTGTAATTGATCAAGAAGTACATTTCTGCTCCGTGCTGCATGAAGGGTTAACCCTTTGAAGTCCTGCTGTACTTCTCTACAATTTAAATACTGTAACACTTTAAATAAACAGTTCAAGCTGCATGGATTGTTTATTTAAAGTGTTACAGTATTTAAATTTAAATTGTTTATTTAAGGAGGGAGACTGGGATTAACAGGTGATGAGTGTGATCACTTATCGCGGGCGGGCATGGTCCCTAAAACCCATGATAAACGACAGACTACTGTATAAATGATGATGGGTACTACTTCCTGTCAAACAGGAAGTAGCAGTAAGCATTGGTTAACTAGTGCAGCACGGACCACGGTTTATTTGAAAGTTAATTACATTCAGTTTATCAGATAAAACTCAGTTTTTGTTTTGTTTATATTTATTTAACAACCATCAAGTTTACTAAAACAGCCGTGCTGCGTTCAGGTACCTGTTGTGTTCAGGGCTGCAGAACAACCAGACCAAACTAAATCAGTGGCTTCAACAACAGAGTTTGAACACGGACCAAAACAAAAAGAGTGTTTCTGTGTAAAGACGTATAGAAGAATGTGTCTGAAAAATGTGAACTTGAAGAGACCACCCACAACACTGTCTGTGAATTCATTTCACTTTGTTGACAAACGGCCGACGGAGGAAAACCTGCATCCTACTTTGTGTCTGGACGACAATAAACCACCGGAGAAGAGACGGATCCTCAGAAGGATTGAAAACAGTGACGAGAACATCAGGGATGATTTCAGGTGTATGGAGGTCACATCATTATAATATTTGTTCATATTTACAGTTTTATGATTGTCTCTGTAATTAACCCAAGCTCAGTGATGGAGGACTTTAAGTCTTTGGCTGCTCTGTGTCTGATTTAAGGTCAATAAGATTGTGTCCCACCACTTTTAACAAAACACACTGACCTTATTACTGTGGAGACACTGATCCACCTCAGAGCTTTTCAGGTTGTTCATCACTTCACCGTCAGAAGAACTGAGTCAGTGATGTAGCTAAATATGCTAGTAGATATAGCTAAATATGCTAGATGTAGCTGCTAGTAGATGTAGCCAAATATGCTAGTAGATGCAGCTAAACATGCTAGTAGATACAGCTAAACATACTAGTAGATACAGGTAAACATACTAGTAGATACAGGTAAACATGCTAGTAGATGCAGCTAA